GTCATTATATTTTTTCCGGCAAAAATTCGAAAAACACTATAAACTGGGCTCTGAGCAGACGGAACTTGGGCAGATGTCGATCGACCCTGAGAATTGACTTGATGCTGTTGATATTTTTGTTGTTGTTGCTGAGAATTTTGTGGTCTTGACTGTGATCCTTGTTGTAATGGAAGCCGAACTGAGGTTTGCATTTTTGGTTGAACTTGCTGCGGCACTTGACGTCGTGAATGGGGATCAACTTGCATCTGAGTTTGAGCTTGGTTTCTTTGTTGAGTTGTCAAGGATCCTTTTCTTTGATATTGAGGATCCGCCTGCACGTTTGTTGGTTTAGCCTTATTATTTCCGAAAGTGCTCGACACCGATACAAGTTGTTTAGGTGATTCTTCCTCCTTTTTCTTTGATTTTCTTTTAAAAAAATTCATGAACCTTCCACCCTCTTTTTTCTTTTCTTCTTTCTTTGATTTTCCTCCTTTCTTTTCGTCTCTTTCTTCACTCTTAATAAATTCCTCAAATGACATTCTTGTTTTCGCAGGATCATTGCCAAGGAGCTTGGTCAATTTACCGTCAGACTGAAGTTCCTCTTCCTCGTCGTCCGAAAAATCCATAAAATCACTCCCCAAGGTCGGTGTCAATGATGTTTTAATGGTTTCACCCGGTCGATTTATAACCTGTGTGATGTTTGAAGGAATATTGGACGCAGGATTATTCTGTCCGTTCGTGTAAACATTCGATTGCTTCATCTTTTCATCATGCGTAAACTCGCTCCGTTGCAAGATCGGTGACGCAACAGGTTCAAAATTTTGTTTATGACTGAGTTGGTCAAAGTGTTGTTGATCTGTCGGCTGCATGTCTTGGCTATATCGTGGTGAATCTCCTTCAAGAATCTGATGCTGATTTTCTTCGCTGGATGCTTCGTCAAATTTTGGAGATCTTCCTTGTCTTGTATCAGAATTCTCATAGTTGGATGTTAGTGATTCAACCATATCATCTGAATCTTCAGCCTTTTCATGGTTTTGTGCATATTCGGTTGTTGCTTCGGTGTCATTTTCGTATGATTCGTCATCTTCAGAATAATCTAAACTACTGTCGTCCGCATCATCAAAATAGTCGAGAGGCCCCTCAGCTATTATATATAGAGGAGAGTTAAAAGAAACAAATTTTCCTTGTCCTTTACGCTCCTTTTTTAGATAATCTTCCTTTTTGTTATTTATTGAGGATGCTAACTTTTGTTTGATATTTGAATAATTGATAATGAATTGGGTTTTTTAAAATACAAGATAACATATAAAGGGAAACCGCTTACATTAACATTACGATGCCTATTTAGCCTAGCCAATCTTTCATGAGGAATTTCGATACTCTCGGCGGGTATGTAACCGACCGCACCACACTTTAAAACTTTAACCAACCACCAGTAACTATTAGAATCGTCTAGTAACTTTAGCTTATCATCTCTTTCAACGTTAACCTGACCTTCCACCGTGGCTTGAAAATTGTGTAAAGCATATACTGACTCGAAATCTATGTTTTCGTCAGGAATCGGATAAAAATCTTCGTCCTCGTCTACCAATGTGGTGTCATCATCATCATCATCATCGTCTATCTCTGATCTAAATATTTTTTGGCCTGCCTTATCAGAAGGTAAATTATTCAACATAGTTTCTTTTTTTTTCAAAAAAAATAAGAATAATGACTGCTGGTGCAATTTGAATCAAGTAAAAAAAAGAAATAAAGTTCACTTTAAATTTTCGATTCAATCACATAAAATATAATTTCGGTGCAGTCCTCTAATATTATCTCAACGAATCCAATTATACCAAAATTCATTTTATTAACACAAATACTTTCAAAAGTGCCACGACATAGGAAATTTCTTTCGGATGCTTTTACGACGTGAATACCTTAGTGAGCGGTTTCGAGAATAAGCCGTGGAAAAAAAAAACGAGTACACTTTAACAATTGGTGCTTTCAAGCAATACAATAAAGCAACTTTGGATTATAATCATAACACAAAATATAAATGCATGAGTTGAAGTCAATCCAATCGCGTATACTCCATTGTTGCATGCATGGCACTAGGGACTTGCAATTCAAAAAAATTACGAATCATAGAAGTGTTTAATAAGTATTATTTTACTATTTATTTTACTGATTGCCATTTTTAATAATAGTAATTATTTTATTATTGATGGCAACGAATGTTGAATTATCATTATTATACCATTATTGATGATCAATATTTTTATAAAGTACAGTATAAATAAATCCCGTTTTCTTATGTTTGAGCAAGATAATGTCAATAACAAAATATCGTGAAGCACAAGAGATCGGATGAAATTTTATCAAGAATGGATAAATACAAATGAAAGAAAAAGATTCATTACGCAGGGGTTAGCTCAGAGAATCAAAAAGAGAACCTTGGCAGGTAATGCAAGTACCTCAGGCAGAAATATCTAGACCATGAACTCATCAGAAACATTGGTCAGGTCTCAACTGGAAACGCAAGTGCTTCACATCCATTTTGGAACGATCTTCAGAAGGATCGACTCTGCAGACTTGCGTACAAGCTTGTCGAATTGATTCTATGTAAGAACAGTACAAAGATCGTGGCACTCGGTTCAGAAGTCAATGTTGATGACACCGAATTCGGTGAGCTTTCCAAGAACCTATTATCAATAAATATTAATAAAAATAATCTTATCGTCTGTAATCGTAGTTAAAATAAAGAGTATAACTAATACTATCTTCACGGCAAGACACAAGGAGCTCAGATCAGCTGGAAACCGAAAACGACAAAGAGCGATTAAAAACACGAAAGATACGGATTGACCTAACGCCCGAAGAGAGAGAAAAGCTAAGAAGTGGATGAAAACTGTGAGGTGGACGTACAACAAGGTTCTTAAAAGGGTGCAGGACGATGGAATCACCGACGCGAGCGTCATACGAAAGCACTACCTAAACGATGAATGCTTCACAACTGAAGAACTCCTCTGGGTAAAAGAGACCCTAGGGAAATACGTTCGTACGCGATTCGACATTGATGACCGCATACAAAACAAATAAGAAGTTGCATGGAAATGAAGTACCAATCAAAGAAGGATCGACACAAACCATCTTGGGAACAGAGGCCTAAAAAATATTATCACCTCAGAACGATCACCAGATGTCAAAATTTTTTTACTTGTGTGATTCTGTTTCTTTGAATATCATCGATAATCAAGATGATGTTCGGGGAAAGACATTCCAGGTGTTCGCACATTTAAGACCGCTTATGACCGTTTGAGACCGTTTAAGACCGTTTAATACCGCTTATAACCGTTTATGACCCTGACGGTCAATTTTAATAAAATATTTAAATTATCTAATAAAATACGATAAATTACAGAGCGACAAAGATCTTGCTTTGGAAAGAATAAACAAGTGAAAGAGATTCCAATTGAGAACAAAGATGCTACGAATTATACTGCAAATCTGTAATTTAATTACGAGATAATTCTTTTACATAAGTTCGAGTCTTCGAGGACGGTTTTGAAGAACAAGCAAAGATTCGGTCAAAGACTGCTCGTGCGATGCCAACTTGTCTTATTTCAGGTTTCGGATGTTCTTACATCATAAGTCGAGAGAGTTCAGAGGTTGCAATGCACCAAAGAGTATACATCAAAGACGTGTGGGAATTGTGGATTTGTAAAAAAACGGTTAATTGTGCCCGTGCGAGATGGAGGCTGATCGGGACGCGAATGGTGCCAGAAATATCTTGCTCAAATATTTAACAGAGGGTCATGTTTTAGGCTAACTTATGGACTTGAACCTTATGGGATACGATGTACATAGTAAAGGCTATTTATTTCCATAATACTTTTACGATTCGACTATTTGATTGTTTTAGCCTTAGTGTTGTTTCTTAAATCAATAAATCATCTTTTCCAATGTAAATAATCAACTTATTTACTATACACTAATACGGGAATTATAATTAAAGTTTTAGAATAGAATAATATTTAAATTTATAATAAATACCCGATTAAATTTTATTAAGATTATTGAACAATTAAATAAATTTTATTTATTAAAAAGTTTGGTCACCATATACAGTTCATTCATATTTGTATATTTTTTTTAAAAAAAAATCATTCTAACCAAATTATAAAAAATTTAAAAAAGAAATAATAAAAAAATTTTTTTCACTTATTCCTACTTTATCAAAAAACATTCTTTTTAGAAAATTTTCTTTCCTTTATCAAGAAATTGAAAACAGAATAGGATAAAAGTGATCCTGAAATGTGCTGACATTATATGAGGCTCTATAACTGTTGATAGTATACATTTAAAGAAGCATTCATGTTTAAAAAAATGTAAACAGATTAAGACTTATACATAATAAAAATCTGAATCAAGAAAATGAAAAATAAAAAAAATATCAAATTTTTTCTTGCAAGATTCTATGTAGATCAAATAATTACAAGCAAGAAAATAGTTTTATACTTTTTATTTTCCTTTTATAAATAGTTTTTTCTTTTTAAAATTTTATTTATAATTACAATATATTATTTTATTATAGCTCTAAGTATTTTGAAAATGATTTTTTGTTATTAGATATTGTGAAATTTTTTAATAAAAACCTATTCTTAAATGTCTCAATCAATAAATATATTTTCTTATTAATATTAATTTCAAAAAATTATAATCAGTTTCTTTTTTTAAAAAATTAATAAAAAGTAATCATATTATAATAGTTATAAGACTATAACAATATAAAAGAAATTATATTAACTAAAAAAAAATACAATTATATATAAACTAAAAAAAAATACGTATAATTATGTATAAATTAATGATACAAACAAATAATATTAATATTAATAAGTTTATATTAAGAAACTTAATAAAAATACAATATTTCAAATAATATCTCTTTAAGACTTTAAAGTAAAAATATTAAAATATATATATATTTATAATATTTTTAAATTATATAATATAAATTATATAACATATAATATTTAAATTCAAGTTGAATATAAAATAATTAATAAAAATATTAATAATTATTAAAATATCAATAGAATCTTTATTATTAATCTTATTTAACCTATTTGAATTATAAAAAATATTTTTATAAATAATTTGATATTGTATTAATTAATTGTATTAATTAATATTTGTTATTTATTTGTTATTTGTTATTATTTACTTTTATTTTTTATTACATGTATATAATTTTTAAAGGATAATCAAATTATATATATTATATTATATATTACTATTTTATTTATATTTACATATATAAAAAGGTTATCTACAGTATATAAAAAAGATTTTTTTCTTTTGACAAATAACAAACTTATCTAGTTTTTTTTTTAATTTAATAAAGTTTTCTTTATTAATTATAAACAATATCTTATTTATCACTTTTTTTTAATATTAAATATTATAAGAACTCCAATATAAAAAATTATAATCAATAATAATATTATATATAGCAATTCAAATCATATTCAAATAAACAAATTAAATTATTTATCTGTTTTATTCTGCTTTTAATAATTCAATTATTAATTATTATTACTTTATTTGATATTAATACAATTCAAATCGGTAATTTATTATATAAAAAAAACAAAATTATAAAGCTAAAAAAAAAAATTGGCATATTTTTTCTCAATTTTTTTTATAAGTGAAATAGATTTGGCTTAAATCATAATATCAGCCAATTTACCTAATGTCAATTGGTAATATAATAAAAAATAGTAATAAGCTAGAATTAATTTGTAATTTATGTAAATGATTTTTATTTAATAAAGTCTCACATTTAATGCCTATTTGTGATTTTAAAAAAAAGTTTTAGAAAAATCATTATTTTTTTTTTAATAGATAAGTAAAATTGAAATATAAATGATATACGAATTGCACATAATTTTTATGATTTCATTTCAATGTAATTTTTAAAAAATAGAAATCATCGGCAAATTATTATTTGTTATTTAGGCACTCCTGTTTACTTTAATAGTATTGATTCTGTCAACCTTTTTATAGAAGTAGGTGTCGTAAAACGTGAATAGATTCGAGTTTCACACGATCTTGTATTTTTGCTCCAAGTGGCCATTGATAGCCGTCTATAAGACTATTTATATTTTATACAGCATAACAATCACAGAAGAGAGATACGTAGTAAAAAAAGAATGGTAGATAAAATTAGCGATGTTTGGGCTATATCGGACGACGAAGACGACAATTCAAATTACGAGAAAGTGATTTCTTCAAAAGAATGGGAACGAATGAATGAAAATTTTGGAAATGTAGGTTATCTTCCAATTTCCTCGCCTTTCCAGGTCGCTTCTATATTCTTCATTATTTCCTCTTTATTAAAAATAATCCCGTGAATAACACAGATGGGATACAGGGAAGGAATTATAGAAGGTAAAGATGTTACGATTCAAAAAGGGTTTGACAGGGGTTATTCCGAGGGAGTCGTGATCGGTAAAGAAGTCGGCAGGATGAGGGGAATTTTGAAGTGGGTATATTTTAGATGTATGCATAAAGGATTTCCCCAATATTTATGAGGATGATCCATCTTTTAAATTCTAGCACTATACTAGAATTCTACTCGCCCTTAGTCAATCACAGTGATTTTGGCGATGAGGACATCAAAGATATACCTTTACTACCAGATAAATCCTTACTCGATAGGGTTATATCTTTAGAAAATGAGCTTGCATGTTTGACCGTTGACAAAGTTTTTACCAAAGAGCATTTTCAATCAACAATAACATCTAAGGGAGATCCATGTGAAGTAGAGAACACTGCTATTATTGGAACCGAGTCGATGTGCAGCTGTAAAGAAAATATTGACTCCGATGATTGTTGCAGAAGGCAGAAAGGGGACAATCTCAAATGTCATGAAGAGAGGATGTCATCACAGCATCCAAAGAGTGTGAAAAACTCTGAACAAATTTTAAAGGGATATCACGACGAGGTTAACAAAATATTGAATGAGCTCAGATTCGCTATTTAAAAAATAAGACACATGAATAGGGAATTTTCAAATTTTATTTATTTGCTTTCACAAATATTACTGGTTAAATAGTTGCAATTAATTATTTACTTTCACAAATATCACTGTTTAGAATGGTTGCAAGCTCCGAGAATTATAGAAATTTTGTAATCAGAAGTTTCATTATTTTACGAACATGCTTGATAATGACATAAAAATTCTACGTGGAAATATATGTAGGCTACAATGATTGAAAGGAAATCTAGTGTTCTTAAAACTCTCATGAGAGTACCTTAAAATAATAATACGAAATATAGATGTTTGCACACGAAATATTATAAATTATGTGAATATGGGCTTGTAATAGACCGTGGTCACATACTATTGGAACAGGAAATGTGGTCAGTATTCCTGCTAATAATTGCGTCCAGTCAAATAAAATAGTATGACCAACCTTTTTCCTATATCTTGCAGTACCAGCAACGGCCATAACATTATCCCTTATCGAGCAGGCATACAAATGATTTAAGACTACATGATTGGGTTCAGGAAGAACGCTATTGTCATCTTTAGAAATTGCTGGAAAATTAAGCAATACTCTTTCTAGATGTGGTGGGAGGGTTGGTGGCCGATTCTTTGTTAGGCGCTCAGAAGGTTCGCCGGCATCTTCTGTATTGGAATTACCCTCAACATTCTCTTCAGTACCAACAGATTGATCATAAGCCAACAGATAACTCGGAATCTTGTCGGTATACTCAATCGGAGGAGTACTTGATAGATCTCCAAAGTTAATTTACAGTTAATAACCTAATTAATAACGGTCCAACCAAAATCGATATGGCATTACCATTAGAGTCAAATCCTTCTTGATTAATGGTTTCGTAGTCATCCTCATAAACCTCCAAATAGTTTACCAAATTACCGTCCGGATCAGTGGCCGTTGAAAGGTCGCTAGAACATTTCCATTCATCATCTACAATGAATTTTAGCTTATGTGTTCCTGGTGTTAAATTAATTACCGTGGTGAAATCCTTGGAACTGTATGCGAATAGAATATTAATAAATGTGTTGGAATTATGAGACAATTTAAATAGACACAAACCTTTTACACAGTCTGATATTTTGCTTCCAATCGTTGAAAGTGCCAGTGACGTAAACATTATTGCCGCCATGACTCCAGGTGATAATCGTGGGTATTCCTTTTGTGACTCCTATAGAAAGAAAATATCAACGAACAGTTTAGAAAGCCTTAATTTCAACTAAAGAGGAATCCTTTTTTCAACCTTGTTCGTTGACACTCGTTAGTGGGGTTAAACGATCACTAGACTTGAAATCGTGTGCAATTCTGTTAGGGTTCCAATATGGTGGTTCGGCTGCTATAAGCGATGATGTTCGAGCTTTCGCGGAACTTCTATCACCAACCAGGATATCGTAACTAGAAGCTAAATCGTCATTTTGGATGTATTCGTATATATCATCGATTCCTTCTTTTTTATATTCTTCGTGTGAAAGCAGAGGCGAACCAACAAAAGGTGAGTTTGAATCGAAATCATGAAATTTCTTAATTGGACGACTGGCAGCAACGGACATTGTCGGTTTGCCTTGAGGTGTTTCTGAAGATCTTCCAAAATCATTTTCATTTGATTCTACAGGTTCATTTGATTGTGTGTTTCCCATACTGGTCGCGTTGAAGTAAAACGCCGAAATTATGATGACAGCCCTCAAATCCGCAATTGGCAATCAAGTTGATCAGATCTTCACACAGAATCATGCATAAATAGAAGTCTAGTCACACCTGGTTTTTAACGCGTAAAATCTCTCAAAAAATGAACTTGGATGGTCAGTACGCTGAAAATTGAATATATAATATTAATTCGAGGATTAATATTTAAAATTTTCGGCCTTGTGTACAGTCTCTTGCCATTTATGCGGATGCACAATTGATGACGGACTTATTAGCAAACATATTTACAATAACTGTTCAATGCACGCTAAGGCACAAAAGACCTCGGTATATAGACTAATTTAGATTCCTTTGAATGGGATAAAATTAATTCTAAAACTAGTAAAATACTTATTGATTTCAAGCGCAGGAATATTGTTGATTACTGGAAGAAGTCAGCAATAGACAGTGAGGAAGTAATTCTCGAAAAAATAGATGCACTTCGTAATAAGAAGGAATCTCGCGAAGAGACACCAAATACGCGTCCTAATAAAAAATTTAAAAGTGACGCAAAAAACAATACTTTGCCGTTAGCCGCGAGAGGTATTCATGTATTATTATTTTTTCTCTTGAAGAAAAATATTATAAGCGATCCTTTTTTTTTTATTTCTACTTCAATTAAGTTCGTCCAAATAATTTGGATGAATTCATCGGACAAAATGAGTTGGTCGGAGAAAATGGGTTGTTAAGAAATCTCATTTTACGTGATATAATACCGTAAGCGTTTTAAAATAAAAATTTTATGGTGTTAAGTATATAAAGACAAATAATTTATTTACTATTATTATTTTTTGTTTAATCAGATCAATGATATTGTGGGGACCTTCAGGGACTGGTAAAACGACTTTAGTCAGGGTAAATTTCGACGAATGACTTGTCTTTTTTCCCCTAAGCTTTTTTTTTATTTGATTGTAATACTTTCACCAATTTTATTAAGATAATGTCAAATATGACGCAATCGATTTTCAAAGAATTCTCGGGAGTTACCCATGGTAAATAAACAATTGAAATTACTTCATGCATTCATCTTTTTCCAACTCACTAATTTATTATTTTTACTAGCTTCCGCCGATCTCAAGTAGGTAGTTCAAGATGAACAGAATCAGAAATTATTAGTTATTAATTGTTGCTTTAATTTTTTAGAAAAGCTTTCGATGAAGCCAAAAATGAGAGAAAGCTGTTTCCAGGAAGGCGTACAATTATTTTTTTGGATGAAATGTACCATCATATTTACACTTGAATTACTAGATTCTCGGTTTATCTCGACAATCATGATATTCATTCACCTTGTTATTTTCAATGTTAAAATAGTCATCGGTTCAATAAAGCACAACAAGATTTATTTTGTAAGGATATTATATTATTTTTCGTTTCTTTTTTATAACCGTAAATTAAAATTTTTCTCATAAATAGTGCCATACGTAGAGTCGGGCGAAATAACACTGATAGGTATGCATGCAACAATTTCAAATGCATCAAATTTGTGATGCTTAGCCAAGCCTTATAATTGATTTTTAGGTGCAACGACGGAGAATCCCTCATTTAAAATAAACTCTGCATTATTGAGCCGGTGTAAGGTCTTCACGTTAAATAAATTATCTTCAGACGAAGTGTATGACATTTTGCAAAGAGCATCTCGAGACAGTAAAATAGAGGACAAATGTTCATTCAAAACAGCGTTACAGCTTGTGGATAAAAAACCTGAGGATAGGGTAGACGATGAAGCCTTAAGGTTTTTGGCTGTAATGAGTGATGGAGATGGTATTTTAATATATTCCAATATTTCTTATAGCACCGATATTTCTTCATTAAGAAATGATCATCTTTGTTTCTACAGCAAGAATAGCTCTAAATACACTAGAGATAGCCATGAACACATTGCATCAAAAAATCATGAAGGAAGATATTAAAATGGTGCTTCAAAAATCCCATCTTCAATATGATAAAGACGGTGAAGAACACTATAATATAATCAGCGCTCTTCATAAAAGTATTAGAGGAAGGTATGGTATTTTGATTTTCTTTAATGAAATCGCGTATACATATGACATATTAGAACTTTTATTTCGCTTTACACTTAGTGATGCCAATGGTATGACGGTCGTTTAAGAATCTTTTACTAGAGTTATAACATTAACCATAGATATTTGCAGCAAGTTTATATTGGCTTGGTAGAATGCTTACCGCGGGAGAAGATCCTCTATACATAGGTATTCTTCGTATGAATTCGGTTCGAATTTAAATCTGTTAGAAAAAAGATAAATGAATTATTCGATTCCATAGCAAGACGATTGATCGTGGTTGCTTCGGAAGATATTGGACTTGCTGATAACAATGCTCTTCCTCTGGTAAGCATTTATTGATGTACATGTGGATACTATTCCATGAAATTTACACTTTTTTTTGTTTAAAAAAAAAAAAAATAGGCCATAGCAACTTACCAAGCATGTCAATTTATTGGTATTCCTGAATGTGAAACTAACTTGGCACATTGTGTTACCTATTTGGCAGAAGCTCCAAAGAGTGTAAGATCATACATGGCATATCAATTGGTATGAACCGATTTTTTTTAAAAAAAAATAATAATTTAATAATAAAATAAATAGAAAATTTTTTATTCGTTTGGTTAATGAATAAATTCAATGTATCCGAAACAGGTTAAAAAAACCATTAAAGAAGAGTATTCTTATCCGGTTCCTTTCAACATAAGAAATGCACCAACAAAATTAATGAAGGTAAGAAAAGTAATGAAAGTATTTCATGACTCGCTTAAAATTTATAGTTCGCTGTACACATTCGTAAAGGATCTTGGCTATGGTCATGGTTATAAGTATAATCCTGATTACGAAGGCCCTGTTCATCAAGAGTATTTACCACCAGAGTTAAAACGGAAAGTATTTCTGGATGTTCACAAACCAATGAAAAGAGACGAGGAAATTGTGCAACAAGAAGAAATTGGCGGATAATTTAGATCTTTCATTGATTAAATTATTCTCAGGTATGAAATTCATGAATTTCATCCTAATGTTTTATTGTTAAGGGTCCTTACTTTTGAAATGGTCATGTTTTGTTTTATATATTAATCTTTCTAGTTATGGAACTATCGGCTACATTATATTAGTGAATTTCTATACATAATTTTTCTCCTGCCTCAATTCCAACAATCGTTTTTTCATGTGAATCAGGTGTACTTTTAACTCATTCTCTTTCGATATCCTGTCTTCGAAATTTCGTATCATTTTAATCATGTTCGATCCCGCACGATCTACGTGACCTGGAATCACAAAATCTCCCCGTAACTTTTTCAATTTTTTTTGAACATCTTTCACATGATCAATAATATTCAGTATGTATTCGTTGACTACATTTTGTTGTCTATCAATTGTCTTGAATAATTTCATGGTTTTTTCGAATATTTTTGTTTCCTCTTTGTTATTGTCATCACTTTCGTGATTACCAAAGAATGACCAGAAATTGGAAAAGAGATTTAAGTTTTGGATATTGGTATTGGAATTATGGTAATTATAATAATGAAATTCTTCGTATGCTGAAAATAGGTTTGAAATGATGAATTGGGATTTTTGGATATACCGCAGACTAAAATAAATAAAATATAAATCATGAAATTGAGGCACGATAAAGAAAATGCAATTATATCTTATGCCTTACCCCTCTAATGCAGCATAGGCTCCCGAATATAGTTTCTTTAAATCCTCATTTGTTGCTAGAAGTAACACCTTATATATATCTCTGACTTGTTTACACTGTCTAAAGCTTAGACCTTCCCCTTCGTTCCAATCAAAGTTCATCGAATCAATATTATCAAGATCAATGAAACGGGAAGCGGACTCTTTAAGATCACGCCTTTTTCCATTCAACAAATTCCTCACACCAGTCATCTCTTTCAACTGTTTATACTGTTGTAAGCTTAAACTTTTTTCTTTAATGCTTATCAAATTTTCCAATGTAAAAACTATCAAATTGATAGTTCCATCTAAGGAATTATGAACTAATAACTGCAATCTTTTCAATTCTTTGACAACCTCAAAACTGTTATCAGAATATTCTATTAATTCCTTGATTATCTGGTTTTCGATGTTTGCTATTTCAGGGCCGTGAAATTTGGTAAGCTTGAAATCTGACGGCGTTTTATATTCAAAGGACGTGGATTCAAAAGGGCTAGAAGGATCATACTCCGAATACACAAAATCTGGAGAATCGGGTTCGGGTGACTCGAATTTATAGGATCCACTCTCTGAAGACAGTTGTTGTTGCTCGTAAGACTTATCCTTCACCAGATCAATAAGATCTCTTGTAGCTAACACTGATTCCTGAATATCACGAGCAAGTGAATCCAGGCTTAGTTCAAACGAAATTTCGGATTTATGAGGAATCTCAGTATTCAATTGCAATTCGGAAGGTTTGGATAATTCTCGATGAATCTGAATTTGGGTCTCGACAAGTTTTGAAAAATCTGGAACAAAAAAGTTTTCGCAGTGCGGTAAGAAGGTTTGAGAGATTACGACGGGAGAATTTAAACAGACAAAATGGGTGACTTCGTCGGGTAGGAGTTGGATGTCGAAGCTCATCCAAATTATGAAGGTGGTTATCAAAAAGATTTCAAAGGTTTTGATTATATACGAACTGTTTTCTATTTAGATTTTGTTTTTTTTAATTGGAAAGAAAAATCAAAGTTGAGTACATTTTATACTATCTAGTAAATGATTTAAATTCTTAGAATACTGACCTCTTAAGAAACCAAAAATCCTAAATATAAAGTAATCAAATACTTCACAATATAACTGACTGTAAAACCTAAAATTCTCAACCATGCGTCCTCTTAATAAGATAATAAGATCCCTCAAGTACCTAGTCCCATCCACTATAATGCCTCCATTGTCTCTCACGTTTCGCGTTTCGTTTAGATCATTCGTTTCATTTCGACTTCGATTGTCTTCTCGAACTTCAGGTGACCAATAAGCAGAGCCTTCAATAGTTCCGAGGGAACTACGGAGATCCGAAAGATCCGATATTTCATCGATGAATTCATCATCTATGGTATCTCTAGCTCCATTGTTTTCACTATCTGTCGAAGAAAACGAGCTTTCACTAAAAAATTGGGAGCGATGACTGAGACTCCCAATGGTCATCGAGGCATTGCTGAAATCTGAGGTTTCAGTGGAAGCCGTGTTGGAAAAATGCGATGTATTGGATGCAGTATCTTGATTACTATTGATGTGATGCATAATTGTTTTTGAAATTCGATACCGAATACAAACAAAAAATGAGACATATGATTAAAGAACTGTGATATCAATCAACACGACATTTAATAAAGGAATGGAATTTTATAAATGTGAGAAACGGCGAAACGTTGAGGAGCAAGAATATAGGGGTTGCTACTTACGTACCATCCCTGAATATAAGCATTTTAACCCTAAATGTCATCCATGTAAGAATAAGTTTCACAGATGCGTTAAAAAAAATGAAGATTTACCAGCTGAATTTCGGAATGCTTACTTATTATAATGTGGTAAAAATTGGTCAAGCAATATAGGTATCTACAAATTAATATATTTGACTAATCACCAGTAAGTGCCAAAAAATGCGTAATTTTTTTTTTTTTTTTTGCACTTTGCTGAAAAACTATTTGTTGAATTACTAGTCTATCGATAATCGATTTTATATTATTGGAAACATTTAAGAAACTTGAATTTTTATTTACAAGATATACTGTTGGAACCATAAGACTATTATTTAAACAAATATTTTTAAAAAATATACTGTATAATAAGAATAAAAACAAGCATAATTAAAAATTTCTTGAGTCCGATTATATTTTTTTATTTTATTTTTTCATAGTCAAACAAGCATTTATTGTGTTTATTTAATCTTAAAATAAAAAATATAGTTGTGCAAAAACATTTACACATAAATTATTCTTTATACTTGAATATCCATATTTGATATCTTGTCTTAGATATGATTTTAAAAATAAATAAAATTGCTATTTTTGATTTTTAAAAAATTTTGAATTTATTGTTTGTAATTTATTACTATAGCTTATCTTAACAAGTCTTATATTATATATTCAATTATTTTTATTTTTTTTATAAAGCTGTTTATAAAACTATTGCTATTTATTATTATTAAATTATTTTATATATGTATAGCATTTTTTTTTTTATGATTCTATCAACTTTATTTTTAAGTTTTGTTTTTTACTATAATAATATTTCTTAAAGAATTTTTTTTAAAAAAAAAAAATAATAAATAAATATTATTTATTATTTACAGTATGGTGCAAAAAAAACTAGAATCATATATTTACTTATAATTCAATAACTAATTAATTAAATTATATAAAACTTTATAAATAAGT